TGCCATGCATACAGGAAGTTTCTAGAGCCAGGCCTGTCCTGGAACTTGCTGTGCAACCTTTCTAACACAATCATTTCTTTTTCACTTAATGTTAGTTTCTAATTTAAATGAAGGCTTAGACTAGATGACTTTGAGTGACCCATGATCCTCCATGAAGCCTCAGTGGTGCGGGGTAACTTGATGTCATTCTACATCTAAGTGTCTGATTTGGTGTCAGCCAAGGTGGTGTGGGGAAGGGGCCAGTGAGGATGTTACTGGTGTTCCATTATCTGTTAATGAGACCAATCCAAATGAGCCATAATCCCAACATCTCGAAAACATCGAACACTGTCCTAGCTGGTTTGGCTAAGGGGATAGAGCGTTGGACTGCTGACTGAAGGGTCCCAGGTTGGATTCCAGTCAAGGGCACATCCCCAGGTTGTGGGCTAGATCCTCAGTTAGGGGCATGCAAGGCAATCAATGATTCTCTCTCATCATTGATGTTTCTATCCCTCCCTCTCATTTCCTCTCTGACATCAATTAAAAAAATACTTAAAAAAAAAAAAAGCATTGAGCACTCTTCCTAGAAGAGCAAGACTTATTAATTCCACAGTTAATAAGTCCAAATTGTTGGTGAGTTAGAGGAATATCTTCCTATGTGTGCGGGGGTGGGTTATAGTCTACATTGCAATATTGTGTTTGATGATGCGTTCGCTCCTCACCAGCTCACAGTCCTTGCAAGGTGGGAGTCCTCACCTTCTTGGCACCTGGGAATGGCTGAGCATGGCAGCTATGGTGTCCTCGCCCTCTGGCCAGGTGATGCTCCCAGGCAGCGGAGACTATAGGACAGAAATGACATCATGGATTTTTTTGTCATTGGCGGGAGTCAAGACTGTGTCATTTGGACTTGCTACAGAGTGAAGAATGCTGGCTCTGAAACCAGAACAGCCTGGATCCCAATACTCCCAGCTCTGCCACCTGCCAACACTGTAACCCCAGGTCAGTGACTGACTTAACCTTTCTGGCGTTCCCTCTCCCCCCAGTAATGCGGGAGAATAGTGACAGGTACCACAAAGGACTCATGAGGATCAAATGAGATGACACATGGGAAACATTTAAGCCTGTGCCTGGATCACAGTAAGCCTGAGTAATGTAGCCATGTATGTCTGTGAGGCCTATTTAATCTTACAACAGGTTATTACAATGTTTTCTTAATTTTAGGGTCTGGTTTCAAATGGAGATCCCTTGCCTCAATAAAATGGTTCAGCCTTCAGTAAAGTTCTCAGTTAAGGTTGTTTACCAGAAAATCATGTGTTGTACTTTTTTAATGTCATCTTCTCACGTGTGTTTTTAAAAGGAGAAAAACAGATCTCACACACTAGTTCATTTTTTAAGTTGCTAAAATTATAGCAACAAATAGGCTTTTTGTTGCTATACCATGGGGGTTGGCAAACATTTCCTGTCAAGGACCAGATAGTAAATATTTTAAAAATCTTTGCAACCTCATGGTCTCCATGGTGATTGCAATGCAAGAACAGCCGTAGACAAAAGCACAAATGGGTGAGCTTGTATCCCCACAAAACTTTACTTCTGGACATGGAAATATGAATTTCATAGTATTTTCATACGTCAAGACATTCTTCTTTTGATACACCCCCCCAAAAAAAACACCTATATTTGGCTTTCCACCTACACAAAAGCAGATGGGAGGGGCACCCTTGGCCCATAGTTCTATCACTGGCCAACCCCTAGTCCACAAGAATAAATATATGCAAAGATGGCCCTGGCCAGTATAGCTCAGTTGGTTGGAAGTTGTCCTGTGCACTGAAAGTTTGCCTGTTCTATTTCTATTTGGGGCGCATGCCTGGGTATCAATCTCAGTTCCTAGTAGTGGGCACAGGGGAGGCAGCTGATCCATGTTTTGCTCTCACGGTGATCTCTCTCTCTCTCCCTTGTTTTCTCTCTAAAAATAAAAAATATATATTTTTAAAAGATATTTAATGATGTATGGATGCCTCCAGCAAGTTATGAAATAGACTAGAAAACCACATCAGAAATTTAGTTCCAAACCATCCTATATAATAAAAGCATAATATGAAAATTGTCCAAATAGCAGAATGACTTGTAGGCAGGGGGTGGGGCCAGTGAGCAGGCGGCACCAGGCCAGCCAAGGTACATGCCAGCGGGCAGAGGGAGGGAACGGCGATGGAGGGCAGGGGATGGCAGCAATGGAGGGGTGATGGAGCGAGCCGGCACTGGACCCCTGATTGGCTGTCTGGTCACCTCCCATAGAGGGAAGCAGGGCCGTGGCAATGGCAGGGTGATAGGAGTGGCGCCATTCCCTGATCGACTGTCCTGAAATCTGCAGAGAGAGGCTGAGCAGCAGCAGCAGGGTGATGGGGCGGTGTGGTCCCCTGATTGGCCAGTCCCGTTGCCTCCCTTGCAGGGAGGCCAGACTCTCCCATGGGGAGCGGGCCTAAGCCGTCAGTAGGACACCCCCTGAGGACTCCAAGACCGTGAGAAGGCACAGGCCAGACTGAGGGTGACCACCGCCCCCCTCCTCCCCAACTCCAGTGCACGAATTTTTATGCACTGGGCCTCTAGTTTATTATAAAACAGAATTTTGTTACTCTTAAACCAATCTAAATGAGTTTAATTTTCTTGATGTGAAAACCTGTGTAAACAGCGATAATTCTATTGTAATATGAAATATCAAGGTTACAAACATTTAATGAATTTTATGAGGTACGATGGGGATTTTTGAGTGATTATTTTGCTTTTTCTAAGAGATGACTAATGAACCAAATTGTTGCAGTTTATCGGAGGTGAATGTTTTAAACATTCTGAATATTTAACCATTTAAGAGCAGGGCCAGTCCTTTCCTCAGTGGCAATCAGCTATTGCAGGCCTTTCACGCCTACAGCTCCTCCTCCACCTCAGCCTGTAGCTCCCCAGTCCTCCTGTGCTGCGGTGAAGGAGTGAATGGGGGTGGGGAAGGTTGCTCAAGCCCAGACTGAGCTTTGGGTACAGGACCGAGTGACCAGGACCCACCCAGTTCCACCCACTATCACATGACTTTACTTATCAGTCCTCCACCCCAAGGCATAGTGACCCCCTTGCGAGGCTTGGAGTCCTGTGCCCTCACTCAAGTATCCTCATTCAAGAAAAGACAGTCAGCACAGGGCTGAGTGTCATGACTCAGAGAAATATACTGAAAGCCAGGAGCCTGAGGCAGGCCGGTGGATGTGGGGGTGGTGGGACATTAAACAGAGACAGAAAGACATGAGCAAGAAGAACCATGATGTGCTAGCTCCAAGGACTGGAGACTCCAGAGCCATCTTCACCTTTTGCACGGGTGCAGACAGACTGGGCTTTTCTCTGCGTGGCCCACAGGCCACGTCTTGTCTCCATAGGGGTAAGAAATAAGGAGGTAGGCCAGGCAGAATGAGGATTTTCTGCAAGTCATTATAGGTGAGAAACTTTCTCAAATGCATCATTTCCTTGCTTGCAGGCACAAAATCAGTGTGACTAATGTTATGCATTTTGCTAAGAAGACACTGAAAGGCCCTACTGCAGTGCTTTTTTTCTATTATTTTTATTCTAAAATCCTTACCCAAGGATATTTGGGTGTTTTTTTATTTTATTGATTTTATAGAGCAAAAGAGAGAGAGAAATATCAATCAGTTGCCTCCCATATGCGCCCCAACCAGGGATCAAACACACTAGGTATGTGCCCTAATAGGGAATCCACCTTTTGGTGTATAGAATGACACTCCAACCATCTAACCCACCTGGCCAGGATTCCACTGGGCCTTTTGTAATTCTTATACATACTTTTAATAAAGTCCTCTCCCTCCCTGCTGTTCCTTATTGGTATAATTCTGACTGGAATAAACTTTGGCTACTCCAAAAAAATGTTTAAGCATGCACATTCACACTTTTATTTCTGAGTGGTGAATCATTTCAAAATTATCAAACATCACAATAGTTTCTTAATATTTGTAGTACAAGAGAAAGGTAAATATAATTGATACATAAATACATACAGGAATATCAATAAAAATATTACAGCTGATAATTTCCATACTTAAAATACTTTACCAAAGCATTGTTGTACACAGTAGTTAAACACCATCATGTGGACTTGAATTATTTTTCTTTCAATTAAAAGTCATTTAAAGATAAAAAGTAATTTATTTAAACAGAATACAATGTGAAGTCACACACTCTTCTGATGTTTCATATCCAAAGCTCTTAAATGGTTATTTTCATCCAGTTTTAATTTTAAAAACATATCACACAAGAGCTTCATTGTTTTCATTGATGCATGTTTAATAATACCGGAAAACTACCCTTCTCTGGAAAATAAAATTTTCTCATTAAGATGGAATCAAATGAAAGTATAAATAAGATCATTGAAACCTGACATAGACATTAGATTTTCTAGAAAGAGTAAATAAAACTAAAAGGAAAAATATTAAAGCCATTTTAATGTTATCAGGGCAACAAATCATTATTTTTAAATTCCTGAATACTGGATGTAAGGAAAACTTAAAAAAAAACATGTTATTTTCTTTAAAAAATATAATCCTTTATAATATACATCTACACCTGAAGAGTTCCCCATCTAGTCAAAAAATCAAGCAGTTTCACTAAAACGTGAATGTATAATTTTTTCACAATTTTTCCTTAGGAAAAAAAAATCTGCCAATTGGAAAATCTTCATTTGGGAAAACAAAAGACTTTCTCCTCTGACAATAATAAAGTTTAGTCCCTGGCTACATGAGCTTTCATTCACTTATTCAAATGAAAACATATTGTTGTGCTTCTGGAAACTAGATTCTTTCATTAACACAGTCTGAGATAGCTTCTGGAAACCGTCACCAACATGTTAGGGTTCACAAGCCAGCGTCGGTGACCAGAATGACAACACTACATGCATGTGTTCAAGGAGACGGGGAAGTGGTGGCATTCCACAGGCTGTCACATCAGCTAATTTCCTCTTGCTTCCAGCCGTGTATTCACAAATGTTTGAATTTATATTTAAACTGAACATCATTTAATGGTGGTAAAACACCCAAGCCTGCACGGGATTGGTCCAAAAGGGGACATTTAACATTGCTCTCCACAAACTCTAGTTCAAAATAGGAAAGCATCAGAATCAAAAATTGCTTGATTTCCTGGACAGCAAATAATCTTCCAGGACATATCGTCGCTCCTGACCCGAAAGGCATGTAGTAATATTTTAATTTGAGTCCATTGCTGTAGAAGGTGGTCTTTGTCTTCCCATTTTCATCAAGATAGCGGTCATATTTAAATGTCTGCAATGAAAATACAGATAAAACAAACATATAAGCTAGTTTTAAATAAATGTATCTCTTTCTTGATCTGGAAACTCCAAAGAATAGTTTTCTTTTTTAAATCCAATTTATTAGTAATTTAGGAAAAACCCCTCCATTAAACAGAAAGCCATAAAGAACTGGAGCTTATCAAGAAAGCTTATGATTCCTCCTGCCCTGCCTGAGTCACTAGTTGCTCAGTGAGGCAGAATTAGATTGGAGAGTTCAGATAAAAAACTAGAAGAGTCTGTATATTTATTATTAGTCTCAGCCTCTAATTTCCTGTATTTTAATTGATTTCAGAGAGGAAAGATGAGGGAGAGAGACAAACATCAATGATGAATCATTGATTTTTTTTTTTTTTTTTTTGCCCCCTGCACTCCCTCTACTGGGGATCATATGCCCTGACCTGGAATTGAACCATGACCTCTTGGTTCATAGATCAATGCTTAACCACTGAGCCACACCGGCCTAGTGGCAGCAGCTTTATGATCATGACTGTATATGTAATCCAGCAGAGATTATTTGATGACAAATATCAGGGGGGAAAATGAAGAATTTAGGCCATTGTCTAGGTTTTCCAATATATATATGAATATTTGACATAATAAAGGAGACCTAGGGCTTCCATAATTAAGTCAGTTCTGTAATGGTAATTTCCTCTGTATTTCCACCTGGGAGATTTCACCTGGCTATTGTACTCTGATGAGCAGGCACTTACCAAAGGGTCTGCGTAGATTTCTGGATCTAAATGCATCAGCTGAGGATACAGAGCTATGATGTCATCTTTGCGGATATTATAGGAACCGTCCTGGAGGTGCAAAGTGAAATCCTCTTTAGCAGTCCGGATGTTCAGGGAGGCACTGGAAAGCCTCAGAGACTCCTTGATGATACTATCTGAATAGTTTTAAAGGAAAAGTGGGAGGAGGGAGGAAAGAAGGAAGAACAAATTCAGTATCTTAAGGCCACGTGATACAGAGTCTGAAATGCTTCTAGCAGCCCGTAACACACAGCTAAACAGACTGTGGGAAACTGGCCAGAAACAAATTTCCCACTTTTTTTCTGTTACCACTAGGTTGTGATAAGTGACTCAGTTTCATCTGCGGATATCTTTTAATCGGATAAAAGAGAGGGCATAGAAGTACAGAGAAATGGTTGCGAGTGCAAGGTTAGTAGGAGGCAATAAGCGAAATGTACCGGAGTAAGTTAAGCGTACCTAGTACCGGCATGTCATTCAGTTGCATCTGATTCAAACAAATAGGTTGGTTTTCTAAGCTGACTTTTTGACCAGCACTCTCTAGTGTTTTATTCACTTCTTCTGTAGCTGCTTTCATTGCTTCAGGGCTCCTGTTAAAAGTTAAGAGAAAAGAAATGTACATAAAATAATTTCTTTCTAGACTAAAAACTCTGCAAAGTTTGGCTTTCCCCCCATCTTTTAAATGGGTGACCAAACTACCAGAGAAGGTGGGAGATGGATATTTCCTTAAAAGGACCTCGCTATGGAGAAGTAAAGCTTTGGCCAGATTTTTAGAAAGAAATGATTTTAGTAAAGATTAAATGATCAAATTAGTCACTTCCATAGCAACTGAGTAGACAGATTGCATCCAGCATAGCATTTACAAAGTACTGGCTACATTGGAAATGCAAATTTAAATTTACTCCTAAAATCTGTACCACAGTTTCAGGCAGAACAGCAGCTTTTCCATTTATAGCTGTTCTAGCACTTTGACTTGTGAAATTAGTGCTGCTCCGTTTTCACGCATGGAAATTGGCTGGCTCCTCAGAGCCCGGTAAGGAATTGACATGACATGATGGCAGCCAAGGACTCTCAGAAACCTTTGACTGGTAAGTATTTGTGAGATCACCATACAGTGGCTGCCATTACCTACGTGACATTAAATTGATGTTGTAAGATTACTGTAACTATGTGACTGTGTCCTGGACAGAGCCCTCTCACGTAAAAACTCTGAAAGACATTTAGCATTTGAGACAGATTGGTAATGGGTTTTTAAATGTGAAATTATTTTGAGAATATTTTTTTATATTGCATCAGCCATCAATGGAATTTGGCATTTCGGAGCCTATGTTTTGTATCTATGTGATACTAAACATCCAATTTAACTGTAATAATTCATGAAACCATTTGAATGCCAAATTTCCGAAACAAAGACTTGGGAAGGAAATCATGTTTGTATAAAATAAAACATACTATTGTTTGTGTTTCTTTTTTGCTACGTACAGTTTTAAAAGGCAAAATCTAGCTAAATCCCATTAAGAATAATTGATCCATAGCTATTTTAGTTGGCCAAAGAAATAGTAAGGCAGAAATGACTTAGTGAAAAACCTGCCTTTTTCTCCAGAAGTCAGTGATCACTTAAATATACTTTTATGTTTATGAGGAGCGAACAGCTTGGGGTAAAGGACAAGGCAGCCTGAGAGGAGCCTGCTCCAGCCCATTCCTCTCCCTGGGAGGCTCTGCTTCTGTCAGGCATGTTTCCCAATCACAGCTGCTTGTGTTTTTTCAATAGTTGAATTTCTGTCTCCCACTGAAAGAAAGAACTGGAGATGTTGCTCGTTACCTCATCATTTGAAATAAGCTCCAGAAAGTGGCCGGAATGGTGTTTGCTTGTGACGCCCACAGGACAGCGAGCTGCGTCTTGGCCTTCTCCATGTCATCTAAGGTGGAGAGCATGTCATTGAGAAACCTGACCAGTTCTGACATGTGATCTCTGTTTCCCAGGTTCTCATGCCTTAAGCCCTCGGCCAGTTTTTCCCGGGCGTGGTGTGCGGTCTTGAACACATGAATGGGGAGGCCTGCTACCAGGGCCGGGAAGATTTTGTCAAATTCCTTGAAGTTGTCAAGTTTCTTTAGAATAAGCGCTTTCTGTGCATCTTGTCCCATGAGATCTCTGCCAAAGATAGTTAAGTACCCGGCTTCGAACATCACTCTGTAGCAGAAGGTGTACATCCCCTCCGTCACCCAGCAGGCAGGCTTCTTTGGCTCAGGTGCGGCGGGAGGCCTCATGATCAACTGCAGGTTTTCCATCATGGCTTCCGTGAGGGAGTTCAAGGCATCGCCCTGCAGAGTTCTGATGAAAGCTTTGTTTATGTTTTCAGTGGTGTTTCCATCACTCGGGTCAATGCTTTTGTGCCCAAATGCCTGGCAATAAACAAAATGTGTGTAGGGAAAAATAAATTAAACCTGACCCAGTGCTAGTAAATAGCTGAAAAGCAAATTAGTACTTTCAGAAATGAGAAAGTTTCATTTTTTAAAAGAGGGGTGGAAATTGGCCTCTCCACATACTAAGTTTCATAGGATTTTACTAATAAATGGCCAAATCGTACCCTTTCTTTATGGCCAAGTTTAACCCCAGCTCTGCAGTGAAACTTCCCTCCACCACTCAGTCTATTTCTTGTTTTTATCTTCGTGGGCATTTATTTGCATGTTAATTTGGTGCTAATCAATAATGGTTTTTAATCGTTAGTTCTCTCTTATATTCTTTGTAGATGAATTTTAACCAGACTTCAGTTTACTTAGAGACAGACACCATGTCTAGTATTGCTTTGCAGAAACTCAGTTAATGTTCGAAAATTGTATTCTCTATAAAAGAGCCTCTTAGATTACATCTAAGTGATGCCGAAATATCTGTCAGTCCCTTAATGAGATTAAACAAAGCAATGGCATTGCGTGTGGCAAAACTATTGTTCCATGTTCAGTTCTCACCACATGCACTCCGGGTGTTGTATAGACATGGTTGACATGAGTGAGTTTGCAATATCTTACTTATACAGTGTCATCTGGCTCAGTAAAATAATGTTTATTTCACTCTCATTAGCTGGTTAAGAAATTACAGATCTATACCTATTTCAATTTTTTAAATTATTAGCACCAATAAGTCCTATCTAATTTGATTATATGTCTAAGATTCCTTGTTCCTCAAAATGATGAAGTAGAGTGGCATATTAAAGAGTAGAAAATAAAATGCTGTATAAATGCAAAAGTGGGTACCTTTGCAGAAGTAGTGAAATGAAATTTTTTCCAATCGAAGTATTTTCCATGGCACAGCACTTTCTGGTATGACAGGGGGTTTGTGATGAAGTGGACATAGTTTCCCATCAGTTTGCAGGTGAAAACAGGACCATGTTTCCTTTGGTTTGCTCTGAGGAACTCAAGAGGGTTGGCACCAAATTGCAGAGCACATCCTAGGTAAGGAATCAGCCCATTCTCCAGAGGAGGTTCACCCATTTTTCTGTAAGGCACACAAATACGATGGTTAGGGAAAAGTACGCACTTTTATATTACCAGGTTTTTAAAATGTTTACTACTGACTTCAAACTTTAAGACTGCCGTTTATAGATATGTTTTTGTGTTGATGGGGCCCTGCTCTTTTACTAAAATAATGGGTTTATATTAACCTAGTAAGATGACATCTTGGTGAAAATGGTTACCAAATCCACCCATCTATCCATCCATGCTTACGTTCCACAACACTTACTGAATACCCACTCCATGCTAGTCACTTTCCTAGTAATGAGGATAAAAGGCTAAACAAGGCCAACAAGATGATTGCTCTCATTATAGATACCAACTTACATTCTAGCGTTTATATTTTTTCTAAGTGTCATTTGCCTAAGTATTGGATTGTTTTCCTTAAAGATATAGAATACTGAATAACAGAAAGGAGTGCATATTATACTATGGCAATGGTCGGCAAACTCTTTAGTCAACAGAGCCAAATATCAACAGTACAACTATTGAAATTTCTTTTGAGAGCCAAGTTTTTTAAACTTAAACTTCTTCTAATGCCACTTCTTTAAAATAGACTTGCCCAGGCCATGGTATTTTGTGGAAGAGCCACACTCAAGAGGCCAAAGATTTGGCTCGCGAGCCGTAGTTTGCTGACCACGGTACTATGGTGATCATTAAAGATAAGAAGAGTCTCATTTGAGAAATTAGCTTATTATAATACTTATATAACATTAAGTAATGTAAGTATTAACAGAATAATCAATTGTAATTAAATAGTCTTTCATGCTACTTTAATTGTTTTTATTAAGGATATGAATATTCCTGAAACTAATATAACTATGTCAACTGTAATTGGGGGGGAAAAAAAATGGCCCTTGCTGATTTTGCTCAGTGGATAGAGCATTGGCGAGCAGACTAAAGAGTCCTGGGTTTGATTCTAGTCAAGGGCATATTCTAGGGTTGTGGGCTCAATCCCCAGTGGGGGACATGCAGGAGGTAGCCAATCAGTGATTCTCTCATCATTGATGTTTCTCTTTCTCCCTCTTCCTTCCTCTCCAAAATCAATAAAAATATATTAAAACAAACAAACAAGCAAAAACAACAAAAAATAAACCTAGAAACTATCAGGCCTGAATTAAAGCATTTTAAGGAACAAAAAAATACTAGTAAAAAGTATACAACATATAACAATCTACATAGCCAAAGATATGCTGTGGGCAATTCTTTCTTTTGGAGATTGACATAGACAATATTTACATACTCCCCCCTTATCCCCATCAGCAGTTAAAATAAGGCTATGCATTTGACTCTACTTGTAATTCTTGCATTCTTGAACCCATTAAAAATAAATGACACGTAAAAATAAAAGTGATGTCATATACATTTAGCAGTTTCTTAATTCATTATGGTCAAATATCTTTAATAAGAAAATAATAGAACGACCAATGCAGGCTCTGTGCTCTTGTCTAAACTTAGGCTAAGCCTATATAATGCACAAGAACTAGTTGAAAAGAGAATATTAATCAGAGCATCTATTTGAAGCACATGATAGAAATCCTTTTCTTGGCAGTTCCACTTACCATTGTATCCTTACTAATCCAGATTTCCTCTTTATATACACACATAAAATACAGAGATATCATAACATTGTTGTCAATGTTTAACAAGTTAATATACATTTTTGCATTTCCATTGGTATGGCAAAACTAAAAAGAAAACTATCACTTTATTTTTTGTTAGATATAATTAAAAAGATACCACTAAAATTTAAAGTAAAAACGTTTTAATTTGAGAAGAAAATGTTAGTGTATTTAAGTACAGAAAGTCAAATTTATTGTATAACAATGAAAGTAAAAGAACATTAACAAATGAATTTAGATGCAATTTAAAGATAAAACTTTTTTTACCTTCTCCTTATTCCAAGAATAAGCCACAAACAGCAGCACATTGCTACCACAATTCCCCAGATCAAAGATATGGTCATCATTTTGCAATCTAATGCAAAACCTCTGAGGAGGAGAATCTGAATAGAAAAGTAAGGATGTAACTGAGCAGAAGCTGCAGCTAGACTTTTATACATGGTAAAATCTTGCACTTGAGTGGCCAAAGCAAACAATTAACCATTTGTTCATCCTATTAGAAAAAGAAAAAGAAAAAAACAAACACTGCAAAACTGGCCTTGAACTAAGTCCACAGGTGTCAGAAGACGTTCCAAAACAATCAGAGACCTGCAATACTTGATAAGTTGAAGGTCTCTCAAACACATGTTGACTTAATGTCCAGACCTGAGAATGACAGCTAATATTACAAGGTTTGTATCCTTATAAAAAAAATGAATAAACCTTTTCAATATGAATATATTAAATAGAGATATAAAGCATAATAATTGAAAGACAAATGAGAATAACTTATTATCAAGCCAATGATTTGATCTGTTACCTTTTGAAAAAGAAATCAATTTAAATGATTTACAAGAGATACCAGTGGTCAAGTTCAAAGAAAGACAACTGGGTGAAATGTTTCTGGGGCTTCATGTTTCAGTGCTTTTACAAAATTAGAGCTATTTTACTAGATATACTAACATGTTACTTACCTAACATCATGAAGAAAGTATCCCACATAAACAGTTTTAATTAAACTGTTTATATAAGCATCAAAACATTATCAAACATTGGGGGAGGAGGGGAGAGCTATAAGAGGGTATGGGGGTAAAATGGTGATGGAAAAAAAATAAATAGCTATTTAAAAAATGTTATCAACCATGTTTTCCTAATTGGAAATGTGTTTATTAATTATTTAATTGTTAAAGTAGCACAATTTTATATCAAATAATTTAAAACTATCTGAAACATATCTGGGTAGAAAGTGAAAGTCAATTCATAATTTACCCTCCCTGTTATCCCTCACTCAGAGGTAACCACCATCAACTGTTTGGTATATATCCTTTCAAACTTTATTTCTATGCACACATATAGGCTGAGCACCTATTCTGTGTCAAGACTTTTCAAAAGTATTCTGGTTGCAGATGTTCATAAGATGGACAGATTCTCTAAAAGAAGCTCTATTTCAGTAGAAACAAATGATGAACCATATGACAAGTGTTACAGAGCAACTTGAGATACTGTGAGCAGGAGGCTCTCCAAGGAAGTGATGACTCAGATCTGTATGAAAATGAAAGTCAGAAGGAAGAGAATTTCAGGAAGAGGGAGCACCAAATGTAAAGGTTCTGATAAAGAATGAATTCGGTATATCTAAGGACCAGAAAAAGAAAGGGGGTGAGATAGATTAAAGCAGACTGAGTGAGAGGAAATTTGGAAAAGATACAAAGACAAAAGTTAGTCAAGACCTAATTCATGCACAGGGATGCATTAGAGTAGGGAGAGACAGATATTGGAAGGCAACAGATCAAAATACTATTTTGGACCTTTAAATTGGAGAGACCTATTAGATATCCAAGGATCAATGTCAAATTGTCAGTTGAGCTCAAGAATCTGAAGCTAGGGAGAAAAGCCAGGTTTGGAAATACAAATGTCAAGTCATAGCATGTGGGTGGTATTTAAAGCCAGAAGATCTTACAAGATTGCCTAGGAAGACAGTAAATCCTGAGAAAAGAATAGAGTCCAACACAGGCTACAGAGCATTCCATTTATTGAGGTCACACAAAGAGCAGAAGAGGATATGGGTAGGAAAGACCCAGGAGGAAAACAAGAAAATCCGGTGATCCAGAAAGAAAGAGGAGAACACATTTGAAGAAAGATGAGTGATTATATCATATGCTTCTCTGAGGTAGATCAAGTAAGAAGACAAAGAAATGGATTTGACAGCATGTAGATAGCTGGTGAGTCACACAAAAACACACACTGATGGGGTATATGAAATACCTTTATGTCATGTAAAACAGTGAATACATATTGTGGGCATTTCCTGTGCAACACATATCTATGTATAATAGACATAAACTTTCGTTTTTAATGTGTGTATAATCTTTCATTGACTAAATGTACTATAGTTTACTGATTCCCTACTGATGGGTATTTAGTTTGTGTCCAGTTTTGGGCCATAGAACCCATAGATTTATTTCATATTTTGTTTTGGTTTTTGCCTCTTTAAACAGAGAACACAAATCACTTATGTGTAATTTATGATCACAGTTATTAATATTTGTCACTGTTTTCTTAATTTCACTTACAGATTTCTCATTGCTAGTGTGTAGAAATAAACTGATTTTTGGATGTTGACTTTTTGCATTCTATAACTTTGCTCAACGTTTTTATTAGCTCTAAGAGGGTTTTGTGTACATATGTATTCTTTAAAAACGTCCACATATACAAGATCATATCTACTGAAAATAGAAATAGTTTTCCTTTCAAATATGTATATTTTTTATTTCCTTTTATTGCCCAACTGCCCTGGATATAACTTTCAATACAATGTGGAGTAGAAGTGGCAAGAGCAGATTAGTGGCAGATGGTGGGAGAAGGGAGATTAGTCTTTCACCATTAAGTATGATGTTAGCTGTGGGTTTTTTATAGATGCCCTTATCATGTTAAGGCCAGTGTCCTTTTATTTCTAGGGGGTTTTGTTTGTTTGTTTGTTTGTTTGTTTGTTTGTTGTTGTGGATAGTGTGTGTGTGTGTTTATCACAAAAAGGTATTGGGCTTTTGCTAAATAGTTTTTCTGCATCTATAAGTTAATCATGTGGTTTTTGTCCTTATTGTATTAATATGGCATATTTCATTGCTTGATTTTTGTATATTGAACTATATTTGGTAATGGTGTGCAGTGTTTTTTGTGTGTATTACTATATTCAATTTGCTAGTATTTGTTGAGAATTTTTGCATCTATAGTCATAAAAATATTGGTCTGTAGTTTATTTTACTTATAATATCTTTATCAGTAACAGTTAACAGTGGATCCGTAGTGATTTGGGAAGTGATCCCTCCTTTTTTAATATTTGGAGAAATGGTGAAGTATTGCTATTTCTAGGTAGTAGAATTAACCAGTGAAGCTATCTGGTTCTGAGCTTTTTGTAAAAATTTTTAAAAATTTCAACTTCAATATTTTTTTGTTGTTATAGGTCTATTCAGATATATTATTTCTTCTTGAGTCAGTTTTGATAGTTTGTGTCTTTCTGACATGTGTTCATTCCATCTGGGTTATCTGATTTGTTTGCATACAATTGCTCTTATTATTCACCTATTTTCCCCTTAATGTGGTAGTAAATGTCCCCTCCTTTTTTGTTTATTTTAGTAATTGAATTCTCCTCTCTATATTTCTCTCTCTCTTCTCTCTTTCGGTCAGTCTCTCTAAAAGCTTGTCAATTTTGTTTATCTTTTTAAGGAACCAACTTTTATTTTTGTTGATTGTATCTTTTTGTTGTTTTGTTTTTTAAATATATTTTTGTTGATTTTAAAGAGGAAGGGAGAGAGAGAGAAAAAAATGGAAATATTAATGATGAGAGAGAATCATTGATCGGCTGCCTCCTGCATTCCCCACAATGGGAATTGAGCCCACAACCAAGGCATGTGCCCTGACCCGGAGTGGAACCCTGATCTCCTGGTTCATAGGTTGATGCTCAAACACTGAGCCATGCCAGCTGGGCTCTATTTGTTTTTCTATTCTCTATTTCATTTAATTTTTCCTCCGGTATTTATTATTTCTTATTGCTTGCTTTGAGTTTATCTTGCTCTTATATATATTTTTCTAGGCTTTTAAGGTGAAAGATTAGGTTATTAATTTGAGATGTTTCTTTTTTTTTAATATAGGTAGTTATGTTTCCTTCTAAGCATTGATTTTAAAGCATTAATTTTTGGTATATTTTTTATTTCATTCATCTCAAAATATTTTCTACTTTACTCAGTGTTTTCTTCTTTGATCCATTAGTTATTTAAAAGTGTATTTATCCTAGCTGGTTTGGTTCAGTGGATAGAGCATTGGCTCAGGTTGCAGGCTCGATCACAGAGTGGGGCGTGCAGGAGGCAGCCAATCAATGATTTTTCTCTCATCATTGATGCTTCTGTCTCTCCCTTCCCTCTGAAGTCAATAAAAATGTTAAAAAGTAAAAATAAATTTTAAAAGTGGGTTATTTAATTTCCACATATTTGTAAATTTTCAAAATATTTTTTGTTATTGAACTCATTCCATCGTGATTAGAGAACACACTTTGTATGATTTCATTGTTTTAAATGTATTGAGGCTTGTTTTATGGTCTAACATATATCTGTCCTAGGGACTATTCCATGTGTACTTGAGAGTTTGAATTCTGCTGCTTTGTATGGAGTGTTCTATATATGTCTATTAAGTCTAGTTTGCTTATAATGTTGTTCAAGTCTTTTGTCCTGTTGCCTTTTGTCTAATTATTCTGTATGTTATTGAAAATTAGATATTGAATCCCCTAATTATTGTTGTTGAATTGCCTATTTCTTTCTTAAATTCTGTAAGTTTTGCCTCGTGAATTTTAGGACTCTTTTGTTAGGTGCCTATATATTTATAATTGTTATGATTTCTTGATGGGTTGATTCTTTTATCATTCTAGAATATCTAGCAATAATGCTTATTTTTTTCTATTAATTGTATTTTTAGAAAATATTAAATATGTTTCAACCATAGCACAAACCAAAAGGTAATAGAAAAATTAGTTAAATTTTGGTTGTTTTGGATTTTTTTTCATTTTTGTCCCTAAAGTACCAATACATTTGTGCTAGAATCGGTTTTGGTCTCATGGTTTAAGAAGCTAGGCTCATATCACCGTCTAGTGGACAACCATGTGCACTGACACTTCTTCTGTAGTTAAATTGGAGGAAGCAACCAACTCTAACTGAGGGAGCTGTAAATCAAAATTAATTTTAGACTTTTAAAGAGCATAAAGGCATTTATCTGAGCAAAATGAGCTGCAGCCTTGGAGACACAGATTTAGGTAGCAACCTAAATTATCTTCCACGGAGACAAAAAGGAGGCCTTTTTTTTTTTTTTTGGAGAAAATTCCCAC